CGAGTTTGATATCTCTCAGATGCCCTCGCTAGTGACATGGAAAATCATGCCATGTTTGTCGCGAGTCCTGTACATGAGCTGGACGTCCATATTCCTTGTGTTCATACTTGCCTGGAACTGTTGCTGTAGCGCCCAGTCCATGTAACTCTTGGTCAGGAAGAAATTTCTCTGTCGTCACTGAAAAGGGATATAGTCAAATAAGTTAACATCGCAGTTCATTTTCTATGCTTAGTAGTGTTGTGAGATGTTGCACTCCTCCATGGCACCTGATCTCACCTCTGATGTTTCGGAGGTCCGTGTTTGCTCTGCTCTTGTTTTGTATATTTGTTTAATGGACGTTGAGATTGAATACTGTTCGTTATTTCAATATCCTTCTTGTATTGTTTCATCTTGTATATTATTAGTAACATTAAGTTTCTTGAACATTCCAGGGTGTTCAATATGTTTGGTCATTTTTTGTAGAACATTCTTGAACTTTATTCATGTCCAGAACTTTCCAGGAATATCATGTATTTACAATTTCAAGAATATTCTAGATTTTTGATACTGTATAAATACCCTGTCAATTCGATGCATAAAAATAATTGTGAAGATATTGTCGTATAAGCATCATTGAGGTATTACTGGGATATAATTTCACTGGGACATTGTGTGCAGCAACGGACACTCTGATGTATGTATTTTTAGATTTTTGCTAAGTTTGTACTTAGTGATTTGTATATTACTGTAAATAAATTATTGTTAAGTTTAAACTGTGTGATTGATCTTTGCTGGCATTTAGGGTTATTCTTACCCATAACAGTAGGTGTCTGTGTATAATTCAGATTTGTACATAGCATTAATATATTACATGCACGTGTATGAAGAAATGAAATGAATAAAGATGAACCATAATATTCATTCTGATTTCTGCATCTGACCTTGTTTGATATAAACTTTTGATTTTCTTTTCATCATGACTGATAGATTCAACAGGAACAAACAAACATCATTTGCTTTTCATAAAAAATTGAGTTGACTATTTACAATGGTACAAAGGAAAAGAATTAAAGACAGAAAAGAATCTACTGTTATACATCAGATATTTGAAAATTTTAAAATTTACTACATTTCATAACAGTCAAGTGTAGAATTAATTTCATCTTCTTTTTTTAGAACACTAACACACAATAAATTAAACCTGAATACGGAGTATATATATCTCAGTTGATTCGATACGCAAGAGCATAATCTAAGAATGAACAATTTCTAAAATGAGGTTAATTATTGACAAGCGAGTTGATGAAACACGAATATTTCAGCAGTCTCGTAAATTCCTAAGTTCTAAGGTCGATACGAAAACGTAGTTAGCAAATACAATTCATCTTTGAGTCAAATACTGACTGACGTTTTTACTGATTGTTAGTCCATTATTTATACACTTAATTGACGAGGGATTTTTCCGTTATTTCCCGATCATGACAAGGAGCACACGGCGGGTGCGACCGGTCAGCAGGGGATGCTCACTCCTCTCTATGGCACCTGATCCCACCTCCGATGTTTCGGAGGTCCGGGTTTGCTCTGCTCTTATTTTGTATTGTTTTATGGACTTTGATATTGAATACTTTTCGTTATTTCCGTATCTTCCTGTATCTGTTCCACAGCTGGATTTGATTTGATTTTTTTAAAAATCGAACCACATAATTTTCCTCGAAAAATTCTGTAAATAAATAATTCAGGAGAAGGCAGTCGTGAATTGGATATCACAAAATCGAAAAAGATATTTCCAACAGGTAAAACAGCTTTATCAGGGCAAAATTGTTCCAATTAAAATATTATGCGCGATGAAATAATCGATTGGTAAATTATATTTTTTTATCAATTTTATAATTATAATTCCTCAGAAATCACTAGTTTATAGTGCTACGTCAATGTCAATCTTGCCGACAAATTTTCAGATTTCCTCTATAAAAATGATTTTTTTTCTTGACGTTTCTGTTTACTGGGATGAAAAACTTTGATCAAAATATATTCAATCAATTTCTATGTCTTTACATTTGTAAATATTTTTAAAATTGGAGATATCTTCCGAAGTTCTGAGGAACAGGAAACGAAATTAGCACTGTTGGGTACCATATACGTCACAACATTTTAGAATCTTGTTTTAGAGTATATCAAACCAATAAATTAAATATACATTGAAGATTATTATCATTTCCAAGACTAATTTCTTTTGGGGGAATTGCTCTCTAAAAGTTGATTATCAAAATTTTGTAATAAATAACAGAAAAGAGATAAGTTCCTCATGATCAGTGTATAAATTTAACATTTTGAGCTTTTATTTCATTCGGCTGGCCAGTTCCAAATTTTGAACGGTTCCGAATAATACCTATGGGAAGAAGGATTATTTATGAGTGTTTGAATTATGTGAAGGTTTGCTTTTTGGTGTCAGTTTGGTTTCATTATCGTACTCGAGACATTCCACACGGATTTCTGATAAAAACGGAGAAGAATTTTGTGAGAGTTATCTCGCTTATTAGAGTATTTATGACCCTTAATCACCGCAAAGAATGATTTTGCAGAAAAAGCTCTGTGGAGACATTAATTTTTCACATAAAACAACATTAAAGGTATTAAAAGTAATTTTGATATGTACTTTAACAAATACTAAAAGCTTGTCTAAAATAAATAATATGCAGACTAGAAGGTATTAGAATATTTTCATGTTGTCCTTTTAATTGTTCCGAATACCCATTATAAACACTGTTGTATATTCATTCTTCGTCGTTTCCTTGTTCTAAACGTGTATTTTTATACTTCCTGCTTTTCATAGTAATGGGTTGTTTGTCCATCCATCCATCTGTTTGTCCATCCATCCATCTGTAACCCTTCCATCTAATACGCTTTGGTATACCCAACTCTTATCCTCAATTCCTTATTATAAAACGAAAGTACATTAAAAGGGGTTTTCCGAACTATTTATATACAGCACCTAGTAATTTTCATATCTTATTGGTCCGTGTAACACTTAACAATTCAAATTTCTAAAATGATTCTGAGTTTTTGAATGTTAATATATATGTTCAAATTTCTAAATTTCTAAAACTCAAACTGTTTTCGTATATTGAAATTTAGTATTTTAGTTTAAAATTCTAAAAGTTCAAAATTCCGAACAGGTTTTAGAATTTTACCATTTTAGATATTTACCTTAAATGTTCATAATCCAAATTTCCGAAAACGGGTTTTGGAATTTAAACTTTTGAGTTTTTAGTCTACCGTTTGTTCTGAAAGTTTACACTTAACAATCTAAAGTTCGGTAATATTTTTCGTCTTTTGGGTATTTGGAATTAGCTTCGAACTTCTAAAGTCCAACTTTCAAACGCTTTAAATGTTTAGAAATTTAGAATTTTGGTATAAAAACTCAATTTTTAAATAACCAAAACACTTGGTACATTTTGGATTTTTAGAAGTTTACATCAATTATCCAAAATATCAAATTCCCTAACTGGTTTAAATGTTGAATATTTAAAGTAAAATTCTAAAAACTCAAAGTGCTTAGGTTATTTGAATTTAGAACATTTGAATCAAAATTCTAAATTTCTAAAAAATCTAAAACGTTTTTAAATTGGAGTTTAGAAGTTTGAAGCTAATTTCAAATACCCAAAAGACGAAAAATATTATCGAACTTCAGATTGTTAAGGGTAACCTTTCTAAACAAACGGAAGATTAAAAATTCAAAAGTTTAAAATACAAAATTTGTTTTTGGAAATTTGAATTTTGAATATTTAAGGTAAAAATCGAAAAACTTAAAATTCTAAAACTTGTTTGGAAATTTGGAAATTAAGATTTTTGAAGTAAAATGTTAAATTTCAATATAAAAATCAGTTTGAGTTTTTGAAAGTTAGAAATTTGAACTAATATATTAACATTCCAAAACTCTAAATCCTTTTAGAAATTTGAATTGTTAAGTGTTACACGGACCCTTATTCGTAAAATGGACTGCATTATCACGTCTCCAACGTAAGTGTTAATGTGCATTGTACTTAAAATATCTGCGATATCTGTGATCTGTCAATAATATGATGCATTGATTAACTTTGTGTACAATTAGAATATTTAGGTTTTTTTCTTTTAATTTGTTTTTTCTAAATTTTTTGTAAGCTGAGAAACAGGTGCATGTTAAACATATTTTACATCACTTTTGAAAGTAATTTAGGTCAATATTTGAAAACTTAAAGTAAAATATAATAAGCTTTATATATAATCATAGAGATTTTGTAATGATTTATTGAAATTGCATTTATATATGATGTCAACGGTTATATCATATTTATCAGAACAAAAAAAATCCTTGCTATTCATATTTAGAAAAAAAGCCCTACAACATATGTCGGAGTCAGTGTTCATGGAACTATGTGATAAACTCGGGACTTCACAACTGGTGGCTATGAGGAGAGATACTATGGACATCAAGGATATGGTGGACAATCAAGGGAGAACAAGTTATGAGATCAGTATGATGGTGAGTGGAAGTGAAAGAGAAGGATTCAGAGTTAAAGGATCAGATAAAGACATTATGTTCTGGCCAAATAATCACCGTGTGATCTGGGAATTATCTCAGTCTCAGTATTACAACACACAAAGACAAACACTGATCCTCTGTGACTGTTCTGATAGTCCACCAGGATACACTATGTTATATTTACTGTCACCAAGCAAGCTCAGAAACGTCCAGTATGCTTGTGTTAAAATAAATAACAGATCTTACATATCCAGTTCAAAATACACAAACATTCAGTGTTCTGCAACTTTACCTGACACCATTACACATGGGCCTTCTGTCAGTGGAGTTACTTCAGGGGGAATAGAATATGATCATGTCCACTGTTTTCATAGTGAATTTTGGCTTTCATCTGCTTTCTCATGGATATACAGATGTCACTCATGGCCCCAGCCTCATATCGTTGATGAGATAGTAAAGAGTGGATGTCACTTCGTAGCAATTGGACATAAGCTAGGACATCATGTACACAATGAGTGGAGAATTTCTTTCTCTCTCGCAGAACATAAACTTGTGTGTGCTATGAATCACTGTCAATTCTTAACTTATGGCTTGCTTAAAATATTTTTGAAAGAAATAATCAACAATGGACTAAGTGATGATGATAAATTACTGAGTTCCTATCACATGAAGACATTAGTTTTCTGGGTGATCCAACAGAATACATTACAACACTGGTGTCCACAAAATCTTCTGGAGTGTTTCTGGGTTTGTTTCAAACTCATCCTTAAATGGGTGTTTGAGGGAGTCTGTCCTAACTTTTTCATTCCCCCAAATAACATGTTTCTGAGTAAGATTCATGGTGAAGCACAACATCAGCTATTTATAAGACTGTATGGGTTGTATGAGAAGGGTTTAGCATTCCTGCTACACAGTCCATCCATTAGGTCTTGTATTTTAAATGTCCTTCATAACCCCCACCTCTCCATCTGTACAGATGAACATACTCTGATTTCTGAGGTCAAGTTTGATATAGAGCTGTTTCAAGAGATACAAACAAATGACACACTTCACACACGAAACCTAGAAACGTGTATGAAACAAATACATACAATAGAACAGATGATAGACTCACCCCTCATAACACAGTATCAAGTCATGATGCTACAGAAACTTACAGCTACTGTACTTCAGAGATATGCTTTAATTTTAGACATGGAAACATACAAACATAAAAACAAAATGAGGTATAGAGCTGACAAAATCTCTTGTCACATGCTGAAATTAGCAGCTAAGTTTGGTTGCATTGCTGACATGTTGTACATGGCTATGTTTTATTACAAGACACTCAGATACATAAAAGCCTTATCTGCTATAAAGATGATCAAGGTAAAGTTAGCACAGCCATATGTGATGTATGGGTATAAAACATGTATTGATAATATGAATACTGATATGAGGTATTCTGAGGCTGTAGGGGGACAGTCCTGGTCTACAAAGTTTAGACAGGCTATAGCATGGAATATCAGTCTTAACAATAAAATCCATTACATTAATGAGTTATTCCCAGAACAGCAGTGTGCCCTACAGAACAAGGAGTCAGAATTAGTAATCTCCCCATTTGTGCTGTTACATATGATAGAGATCTTGTGCTACAGACATGTAGACACAATGAGAGTACAGACAGCTCTAGGTGATCTACAGACCCTAGTTCAATACGATCAGGGACAGCTTATACCTTTCAGAGACATATCATGGCAAATTCTGGGGATCTGTCTTCAGGTGACAGGAAACCTCCAGGCTGCTCTATACTCATACCAACAATCTCTCAGACAAATACCATTCCACAAAATACACACAGCTACAGAAATAAGAATGCAGGGAACTTGTCACTAAGATGTCTAGATTAGTAAAAGAAATGAAATGAAATGGGATAATTTGCATAAATTATCCCATGTTTCCAACTATCGTTGATGTCCCTGGCATACTATACAAACTAGACAGAGATTACTTATATTTCCATTTCATTGTGAAATAAAATTGTCGATTTAGATTATAAAAATGTAGACATAGATTAAAATTATAAGTGGACTTCCACGGCAATTTCAATAGTCCTTGGCCACTGACGTCAAACACAAACGTCGAGCGAGATTAATAAGCATATTTGGCCTCCTTAGCCTCAAACACAGAGGCAGATGCGAACGAAATTTGCATGCATATTATGCCTCCCAAGCTCCTGACCTAGCGACCTGCCTAATTTACATTCCGATAAAATTATTCAAAATCAACTACTCTAACTTTCAAAAAATTTTCACAGAGAAAAAAATGAAATATTATGAAAACATGTTTAAATATTACATCAGATTAAAAAATTCGAATAAAATATTAGTACCACTTATAATCATGTGCTTTAAGTATCAGCTATCAAAGAAGACAAAGGTTTATCTTTGAAAGGGGTTATACTACATGGCAAAGCAAGATTTTTAATCTCCGGAAAAACCTAAACTTGCCCCTTTAAATATTTCACATAAGGATTTGAGGTTTAAATCAAATAAAACTTTTGTTGATATGACCTTTGAAAAATTGAGCAAAATATCATCAACTAACTCGGGAAAACTTTCATTGAAACAGGCAGATATTGTAAACCAATAATTTCTTAGGAGAAACGCTTATGCTATGCTTTTTTGTAAATTATTTGTTGAAATTAAAAACATTTTGTACTTTTTTGTCCAATGTATGACAATCTTCGACTTCAATGTTGTAATATATTTGATAATATATTATACTGTGTGTCTAATGCAATCAATATTCATATACCTATGAGAAAGATATTAATTATAAAACTTTTACATTGGAGGTTAACAATTATTTCACTGTTGTGCATTATGTTTTCTGCTAATAAGAGCGGTAAAAAAAGAAGCAAATTTTATATAATCGTATTTGTTATACCTCTAAAAATTTGTTCGTTTACAAATTTCTACGAAAAGAACTCTTAACATTTCTAATGTTTTAATGAGCTTGCATAAAAAATCGATGATGGACCGCTGAGTGAGATGTTGGACCACTTATGTCACAGAATAGCGGAACTTAACCTCATTTTTATTTGTTGGAGTGCAAATGTGATAGACCTGATGTTACATCACGGAGGACAGTACGAAATACGTGCATGTCAAAAAATTTATCAAGGTATAGCTAAACATTTATAGACTCTGTTCTCGGGCAAAATGCGTTTTGTCGACCCTCGAATCACACTGTCTGCCTAACGGCCTCAGGCATACTGTTTGGTTCTTTGGTCCGACAAAACGCATGTTACCCTCGAACTCATAAACTAATACTAAATAAATAATTGTATTATGTTCTTTGTATCCCAAACAAAAACTGGAATGTGCATGTATGTTGATAACATTTGAGATAGTGTATATGTAGTTAGCATTATATCGTTATATGTATCAGTTAAAATGATATGCTATTGAAGATATTTGAAAATTGTTTGTTCTGTTTTTCTCTTGTTATGTGGAGACGCCATCACTGGCAGGCGAAGGGCTACAAATTCCACCTGGCTATCTTGCCAATGAATTGTAACTTTTTTTGACACTTCTCTTTTTATACGACTGATCTCATCAGTTGATTCGAATCAGCGATTTAAGGTATTCAATGTGTAACGACCAAATTTTGTACGAAATAAATGAATGATCCGATATTTTTATTCATGGTAGTATTTTGAAGAACTGCGCCACCAAAGGAATTTCCAAAATTTTGATTATTGTATGATTAATTGAATCTTAAATTTTACAGTGAAGTCTATGGGCAGTGCATGTTTTAATTAGATGTTGTAAAAAGAACTTGAATTTCTTGGTGAAAATATGCATAATCTCCCTCTTTATTATGACATAAAGAAAATTATATACCCCAGAAATTTTGAGAAATCAAACATTTTCTTCTTTTCATCAAGGGCAGATAACTCTTCAAAAACTTTAAACATGCAAAATAATCTCTTTTTACATGCTATCAGTCTTGGTGAATTTGGTTTACTAGTATTTCTTTTTAATCGTTATTTAGGAATGTGTTTTCAACTAGATAAAACTTATTTGAAATCGTTTAAAAATCTTTCATTATACATTGAATACCTGAAAGATCAGTAGCTCTTCACTTTAAAAATGGTTTAACAGGATGAAGTAAATAACGAAAACAATGTACTTAATTTATTTTGGAAAACCGTTACTATATAAAAGTTATACAGATTAACTGCTTGATGCATAAACTACCAGAAAGACAGCTGAAAATATGATAAGAAATTGGAAATCGTTTAGTTTCAGAACTGTAGCGTTTTATATTTTAGTCCTTGACCAAAGTCTAAAATTAAAAAAAAAAACCATAACGCGACAGTTCTGTAGCTAGGAATCGTTATGATTGACATGCATAATATGTTTACTAGCTTGTTGAGTTTACCAGAGCGTCAATGATTGTAGGAAACATGGATAAATTAAGTCTGTAATGCTTTTTCCCGATGGGTGCACAGAACCAAATATTTAAACGAGAAAAGAATGTAAAATAAACTTCCTAAATCCGGGAACACGTTAAGTTGCAAGACAGTACCGATGTCAGAAACCTTTAAAGTTTAGCACCGAAAATGGCTTGTTGTCATGAAAATACACGTAGGGTTATGATAATATCCGTCTGTTAAGTTATAACCAACAAAAATGGCGTTCAATACTTTTTTTTTCAAAATAAAGATCCCGTGGGGATCCGGGTTATAAAAGGTCCTCAGTACCCCCTTGCTTGTCGTAAAAGGCGACAAATTGGGCGGTCCTTCGGATGAGACCGTATAAACCGACGCCCTGTGTCACAGCAGGTGTGGCACGATAAAGATCCCTCCCTGCTCAAAGGCCGTAAGTGCCGAGCATAGGCCTAAATTTGCAGCCCTTCACAGGCAATGGTGACATTTCAATCTCAGTGAAACATTCTGGAGAGGGACGGTAAACATTATACAATCAATCAATCAATCAGAATAAAGATTAGGCCGCTTACAACTCTTACAAATTCACAAAGCATTAACAATACACAAAATTAATTGTGATATTACATCTCCCCTTTCATAGAATGTTTTTCCAAAAAAAGAATTATAAGAACTGAAGCATGAATTAAAGTCAATTCACTAGAACATTGAATCAATTAATTAACACTTTATGAACAAATAAAGTCCTCAAGATATTTAGGTCGTTTCACTGTACGCTGTTGTCTCGGTTCTTGACGCGAAACGGTCGGCGAATCTGTTTGGCTCGATTACTGCTGCGGCAGTTTATCCAAAATCAATTGGGTGCATGTGTTATCTGGAACAACAGATAGCAAGGTAGTTTCATAAGTTTTGAGCACTCGTCTGCAGTTTCTACACCGAATTTTCCTGAACTACTACAGCAGGTTCCCAGTGTTTTAAATCTTTCTGTACACGAATTATTTAAGGAATCACTGTCTAGTTCGTATAGTATGCCAGGTCATCAACGATAGTGGGAAATATAGGCTAATATGCCAGGGACATCAACGATAGTGGAAAACATGGGATAGTTTATGCAGGGAAATATGGGATAATTTATGCATCACGGGCTTCGCCCGTTATGCATTTTATCCAATGTTTCCTACTATCGTTGATGTCCCTGGCATACTATACGAACTAAACAGTGATTCATTATATTTCCATTACATTGTGAAATAAAATTGTAGATTTATATTTTTACAATGTAAACATAGATTTAAATTACACGAGGACTACCTTGCCAATTTTCCATAGACTTCGCCCACTGACGTCAAATACAAAGGCAGCCGCACGAGATTTTCATGCATATTTTGCATCCTTAGCGTCAGACACAGAGACAGATGCGCAAGAGATTTGCATGCATATTTGGCATCTCTAGCTCCTGACCTTTCGGCTTGCCTTATTTATATTGAGGCAGATTTAACAAGAAATTAACTCTTCTAAGTTTCAAAGAGTTATCACAGAGACAAAAATAAGAAATGGAAATGCTTCACCTTTGTTGATGTTGGACAAAGGTGCAGATTGGCGATCAAATAGTGTTTTTGTTCTCCTGGCCTGCGACAAGGTTAGGCTTGCAAGATTCAACATTCTTAGCACTCATCACGTCCGATGTTATTGGTATCTTTGTACGCAACTGTCTATTCATTAGTAGATAGGATGGTGAAAGTCCTTTTCCATTAAGCGGTGATCCTCGATTGTTCATAAGACTTATAAAGATGTCAGATCCAGATTCATCAGCTTTCCTGAGCAGATTCTTTACAGTCTAAACACATCTCTCCGCTTGTCTATCAGGGACTTGAGGTGATGTGAATGGCACCTGATCCCACCTCTGATGTTTCGTAGGTCCGTGTTTGCTCTGCTCTTATTTTGTATATTGTTTAATGGACGTTGAGATTGCAAACTGTTCGATATCTCCATATCCATCCCAATCAGAAGCAAACTTCTTGAAAGCGCAACTCGAGAACTGAGGTCCGTTGTCCGTAAATTGTTCCGTCGGAATGCCATAACGAGCACAGATTTAAACGCAGTGAGTGTTTGTGAACTAGATGTTGTAGGCATTTGCACTATTTTTGGATATTTGGAATAGGAATAGTAATCGACACACAAAAGGTATTCTGAATCTTTGAACTGAAACATATCAACTGCGACTTTGGCCCAAGAACACGAAGAAATCTCCTGAGGAATCAATGGTTCCTCGCGAAAAGAATTACTGTACTTGTTACACCTGCAAATTATTATACATCATAATAAATATTAAAAAAACGCATTTTCTGATTGGTTCTAGATCATCACGTGATCGGGCCGTAAAACGTTATATTTCCCGGTCGTCGGCACACTTTTCATCATATTCCCCCTCTTCGGATACTTAGTGCATTTTTCCGCATTTA